GCTTTGTGGTAAGCAACTACCTCAGCAGGAATGTCTCTACCAAAGAATATTTTGGACTTTGTTGGTCATGTACATTGATTGTCCTTGTTCCTCTTATCTTATCTTACTTCTTTATTAATAATTCCGTAAAGACAACAGGAATGCACCTATGTCAGGGCCTTCGTATTTACTATAACTCACGTGGAACACATGCCATTCCAACATATATATGCATGCCCCACTTCCCCTTTTTCTTTGCTCAAAAGTCTCATCTAAATAAGGCATTTATTTACAGCTGTCTTAAAATCCACCCCCATTGTCTGTACACATACTTCCTATATCTTTTCTAGCTTTATTTTTCTATTATCTCATTAGTTGTTACATTTTACTTACGTGTTTGTATGTCTCTTTATAACAAGTTCTCTGGAGACACAGATCTTCACTAAGTTTGTGGTAAGAATCTTAGTGCATAGAGTACTAGGTGGTCTTTAATTTGTATTCTATAATATTCAAGTTTAGTGAATGAATAAATGATATATATACTCTCAAGTTCACTATAGTACAAAGAACAAGCCAATATTAATTAATGAGATAATAGTATTAATTAATTATAATTAATGAAACATTACCAAATTGTTAACAGTAACAAATGTGGCTAAAACAGAAAGGAAATTTGAGTGTGAGAAATTATAATGGAAACTTTCTGGAGATAACACCTAGGCCAAGATTTCAAACTCGGTTTTGGTTAATTAAGTTGGCAAAGAATAGAAACTTGTAAGCTGAGCATGTGGCACTCTGGGAGGCAAAGGCAGGTGAATCTATATGAGTTTGTTGCCAGCTTGGTCTACAAAGCAAGTCCAGGACAGCCAAGGCTACATAGAGAAACCCTGTCTCGAAAAACAAAACAAAAAGAACTTTTAGTGAAACAACCATTAGACATAGATCCAACCTCAGATCTGAGTGGAGGGTGTCTTTCTATCCCTTTATCATTTTGAAGATTAGACACATACTTGTTTAGCATGCCATTCTCCCCAAATTCAGATACTGAGCTATGGACTTGAAGGCCTTTCTCTCAAAATTTTGCATAAAACTTAAAACAACTGAATCCAAGTTTCCTGTGGGAAGAAATGGTCTCATTTCTGCAGGGCACACTGTGTCATGATTGCCTGGCCAATGTACCGCTGTACTCTTTGCTGACTGAGTGTATGTGGGTGGGGGCAGCTTTGGGAACCTCACAGCGCCACGTTTGCTGCCCTGGCCTTGGCATTTCTTTACCCTGACTTACTTGAGAACATCCGCTTACTCTTTTTACTCTTAGCTGTCATATGCTACCCAAACCATCTTGTATCTAAATATCAGTTCTGTTTATGGCAATGTGAGTTTTTATCTCATTAGTCATCTTGGGAATCACTAAATTTTAGATTTAGACAAAACCCCAAGATGTGAATCACAGTCTAAAATATTGGATAGGTTATAGACATAATAATGAATGATCTTTCAAAAGATTCAGTTAATGACTACATTCTAGAAAAATCTTCAGAGAATAGCCCACCATATTTGTCTTTTAAAATCAAGTTTTATTAGAACAAGACTGTGCCCATTTGTTCACATGTGGCTTCTTTTGTGCTATGGTGACAGTTGAGTAGTTGCTATGCAGATTATACGGCTGACAGTGCCCAAATTATTTGCTACGTGGCCCTTCACAGAAAAAGTGCCAGTCCTTGACTTAAGCAACTAAAAAACCTATTCCTGGAAATGTAACTCATTTCTTCTAGCTTAGCATCAGTGTGTAAGATAAGAGCAACGGAAGGCTCCTCTAGTCTACAAAGACCAGCCTGTTGTGTTCATTGGTTTTCACTTTATTTTAAAGTTATTTCTGCTTAGTCACTCTGAAGGGTTAGGGATATAGCTCAGTTTGCAGAGTGGCGTGCATAAGGTTCATTCCCATACAGCATACACCAGGCATAGTAGCACCTTCCTATAATCCCAGGATGTTAAGGCAGGGAAATCAAAGGATCAATGCCAACTGCGGCATAGAGAGTTCAAGGGCAGCAAGACCAAAGGAGTCTCTGTCTCCAAAACAGATAAACAAGAATTACAAAGTGTGTGATTCCTAACTGCCGTCCCCTGGGATCCAGTGTCCTCTTCTGTTGAACAGATGTACCCTTGGACAAAACACTCATACACATGAGATACAGAAATAACTCTTAAAAAGAAACAGCATTATCTTTTGCCAAGTGTGATGGCATACTTCTTTAATCCAAGCACTTGGGAAGCAGAGAGAGGAGTATCTCTGTGAGTTCAAGGACAGCCAGGGCTATATAGAAAGACCTTCTCCTCCCCCAACTCCCAAAAAGAAAGAATTTCCATGTATTCAGTTGTCAGCTGAACCCCACCTAGCTGGACGCTTAACACGCACCTTAGACTTCTTGAAAACTCTAAACTGTGTTTTGTGTCTCTTTTCTAGCTTAGCTAGAGTTAGTTTGTCACTGTGAGATCGGAGAGGAGCCCATCCCCTCCCTATACTATGTAAAGCCTCCTTTTCTAGCTCAGCCAGGGTAGCTCAACCCTGGTTTTCCCCCACCTTGGTCTCTTTCTGGCTTCATGTACACTGCTCCAAAGTGATGTTTCAGAATGCAAATCTAGGGACTGGAGAGATGACTCAGTAGTTAAGAACATTTGCTGCTCTTCCACAGGAACCAAGTTGAGCCCTTAGAACCTACATCAGGCAGTTCACAGCCACCTGTAACTACAGCTCAGAGGATCCAGTACCACCTCCTGACATCCACAGACCCATGCACAGACATATAGGTGGAATTAAAAATAAGGATTATTTTTTTAAATGCAAATCTGGTGAAATAGCTCAGTGGATTAAGGCCCTTGCTGCCAAGCCTGGTGACCTGAGTTTAATCCCAGTTTCCCTCCAGTCGAGGGGAAGAACTAACTCTGGCAAGTTGTTCTCTGACAGTATGCACACAATGAAATGTGATAAATAAGGCCAGAAATGCAAACCAATTTTATTGTGTTTAATTCTTTCAGTAGCTTTCAGCTGCTCACAGAATTAAGATCCAGTTCCCTAGAAGATTTACAAGGCCCTGCATGATGAGGCCTTTCATCCTGTTTTTCTCCTGCTGCTTCTTGGCCAGTCTACTTTCAACCTGTACTGAAATATTTTCAGTGTCCCAGACCTTTGTACCATTTGCCTGGATGTCTTAGACTACTGTCTTCCATTTGGCATGTCTATGCCATTGCTTTGCCTCCCTAACCCTTCCTTAGGGCATCTAGAAGAACTATCTCAAGACTTAGTTTTATCTTTTTGGTATAGCTTTCCACAGTCCCACAAACAGATGTGACTGTCTCTCTCTGCATCATTGTATCTTGTTTTCCACTCATCTCTAGCACTTATTATTGTATTATTTATGTTTTCTTGAGTATCGCTTTTCAGTGGTCTGTGAGGTCTTCTTGTGTTTGCAGTGGCTAAAAACTTGAGACACTCACCTGGCATGTGGTGGTAGCAGTGGAGGTGATGAGCACAGAGTGGGTCCAGCAGCTCGTTTACCTGAGAGTGTGCTTCCACAACCAGGATTCCTGCGCTTGGGGATATGGAGAGGGGAATGGCAGTTCTGTTATTCCTGTCCTAGAAGCTGCTGCTCCAAGTTTAGCACCAGATTCCATTTTGTCTGTACCTCTATGACAATCTGATAGCCACTTTCAGCCTTTGTGTATTGTTTTAGTTTGCTTATCTCCATAAGCAAGAAAGGACATTAAGTAGGGTTACATTCCCTCACAGAGGAAATAAGTTCTCAGTGCTCTTGTTTACCACTCAAAAGAAAGGTCTTTTTCTAGCCACTTAAAAAGAAAAGAAAAAAGCTGGTGATGGTGGTGCATGCTTTTAATCCCAGCACTCAGGAGGCAGAGGCAGTTGGCTCTCTGTGAGTTAGAGGCCAGCCTGGTCTACAGAGTAAGTTCCAGGACATTCAGGGCTACACAAAGAAACCCTGTCTCAGAAAACAAAAACAAACAAGTAAAACCAACCCTTATCTTCATTGTAGTATTTAAATCATTCTATGCCCTCAAAATGTTTCCATGTGTTTAATGTCAAATTAAAAGTAAGCTGAATCGGGGCTGGAGCAGTGGCTTAGCAGTTACTGAGTTCAGTTCACTGCACTCACATAAACCGTTCACAGCTGCCTGGTGTGCAGATAGACATTCAGACAAAACATCTATACATAAAATCTGTAAATAATTTTTTTAAAGACTGGATATGGTGGTACCCGCCTTTAGTCCCAGCACTTGGGAGGCAGAGGCAGGTGGATTTCTGTGAGTTCAAGGCCAGCCTGGTCTACAGAGTGAGTCCAGAACATCCAGGGCTGTTACACAGAGAAAACCTGTCTTAAAAAATAATTAATTAAATAAAAATTAAGCTAAATCTTGAGGAGATAAATAATAGGCTTTTTTTAAAAGGATTGCTCATAGAATAATGGTTTCTTGCCATTTTTAACTGAAAATTTCAGGTGACCAAGGGTCATAGCAGTTTTCAGAGGATAACAGAATGGTCAGCATACTGACTGAGATTTATCTGTTACCCTCCATACCTGTAGAAGCTTTTTGTGGTGTAACTCCTTATGTCTTTAATATTATCTGACTCTTCATTTTCTCCACTGATTTTTTTTTTTTTTTAAATGGGTGAAGAATCTAGTTGTAAATTCTTTGCCCTTTTTGGAATGTGTTACCTTTTTTTTAGTTTTATCTGCCCCTTCTTCCTGACTTAGTTTATCTTATGGTTTTGTGCTGTGTCTCTGAAGTAATAGCTTTGGCTTATTTTTTCCTGAATGTCTCTGCAGTTTGGTTGAGTATCTGGCTGTGAGCATCCATTCTGAACTTGGACTTCCTCTCTCCTTGTGACTGTTTGGAAGACAGAAATCAATATTTTCTGAAGAAGATGAGTTTTGTTTTGTTTTGTTTTGTTTTTTAACATTATGTGTGTATGTGTCTCCTCCCTCCCCCTTATCTTTTAAAAGACGGGAAAGAAAGCAGTGAAGGCTGTTCTGTGGGTATCGGCAGATGGGCTCAGAGTTGTGGATGAAAAAACTAAGGTAAGAGTTTTGTGAGTTTATATGTTACTTCTCATGTCATTAAGCTGTTGTAGTAGCTCTATAATATCCTGCTACAGTGTCCAAAGTATAGCCCTTTGAGAGACTGTTTTAATGTCCGGGAAACTAATTTAGTGACTCACTTACTTTATGGAAAAAAAAAAAAATCTCTCAATATTTTGTTCTACATGATGTAGCATATTCCACGTAACCCAGCATTAATGTTTAATGCTAAGATATGAGTTCTATTTTTGTTCTGTTTAATTTTTTTCAGATCCTTGAATATAGAGTGATGTTTCTTTTACTGTAATTTTTTAGATGATAGACCACATCTTAAATTTGCCCTTTAAAAAATTTGTTGCTTTAAAAAAAAAAATCAGGGCTGGAGAGATGGCTCAGAGGTTAAGAGTACTGTCTGCTCTTCCAGAGGTCCTGAGTTCAATTCCCAGCAACTATATGGTGGCTTACAACCATCTACACTGGGATCTGATGCCTTCTTCTGGTGCATGCAGATAGAACATTCATATGTGTAAATAAATAAATTCTTTTTTAAAAAATTATTTTTTAGAAAGTAATAAATAAATTAGCCAACTGAAAGTCCAAATGAAGTAACAGTTTAAAAAGCACTAGAGGTGAGATTTTACTTTAGGATTTAAACAATATTCTGGGTAGCATTTCGTATTTAAGAGTGACCCTGGCCAGGAGAGATGGCTCAGTGGTTAAGAGCACTGGCCGCTCTTCCAGAGGTCCTGAGTTCAATCTCAGCAACCACATGGAGGCTCACGACCGTCTATAATGAGAGATCTGATGTCCTCTTTTGGTGTGTGTGAAAACAGAGCATTCATATGCATTAAATAAATAAATCTTAAAAAAAAGAAAGAGAGTGACCCCTAAGATACATAAGGACAGTTAATCATATTAAATTTTTTGGAGATCCAACGCCGGGAAACACTTTTTAACCAAGAGTTAATTTGGGAATGGGTAACGTTGCGCAGATAAAGAACAGGTGTGATGAACAGTTTGTCTGTTAATTTTTAAGTGGCTTAATACAGCTTGCATTTCAGACCTTTGACTTTTTTTTAAGCTCAAAGTATTTATTGGCTTAAATTTATCACATCTTTAAAGCAATAATGATTTTAAGTGTCTTTTAAAACTTTTGTATCCTTTTAATACATGTTTTGGATGAAATTTACTTTTGAAAAGGGATCTTGCTGAGTTTGATCAAATAATTCCCCTGCCTTAGACTCCCAAGTACTGGGATAACAGGCTTGTGCCACAATACTATGCAAATTTGTTATGCTCGTGGCTATGTATTTGCTTTTCACTGTAGTTGGAAATTGATTTGTCCCCTGGTGGCTACGCTACTTGTAGCACCTGCATTTGTGAATTTTGTTCTTTTCACTGATAATAGTAACTGGTGAATTGGTTGATTGGTTGGTTGGTTGGTTGGTTGGTTGGTCAGTCGGTTGGTCAGTCAGGTGAAGACAAGTTCTCTCTCTATAGCCCAGTCTCATCTGGAAGTCACTGTGCGGCAGCCCAGTTTGGCCTTGAATTTGTATTTGCTCTCTTGTCCTGGCCTCCCAAGCACTGGGGTTGCAGGCATGAGCCGGCATGCATACTGCAATTGGCAGCTTGCCACTGTTGGGTCCATTTTCCTATCCTTATATTTCACCCACTGTCAGGGGCTGATACAGTGTTGGAATTAGTGCTTATGACAAGACCATGCCATGATTTGCACAAAATAATATAGATATTGAAGTCTGAACTTTAGGTCCTAACCTTTCTTTGAACAAGAAACTATATTGCCCCACAATGATGCATGAATCTCTAGCATACAAAGAAATAGAAATATGATTTATTCTCACAGAGAAAGCAGAGATCCCACCCCAAAAATAATATAGAAGAAGCAGACAAAACTTGTAAAACAGGCATTATGTAACTGTACTGAGGGATGTGAAAGGAAAGATGCTACTATTAAATAAACAACTAGATAATCTCAGAAATTATGAAAAAGCAAATAAAAATTCTAAGGCCTGGCATGGTGGCACACACCATTAATCCCAGCACTCAGGAGGTAGAGCCAAAAGGATCTCTGTGAGTTCAAGGTCAGCCTGGTCTACAAAGTGAGTTCCAGGACAGCTGTAGCTACACAGTAAGACATTATCTCAATATTTAAAAAAAAAAAAAAATACACAAAAGGAAAGAAAAAGAAAATTCTACATCTGAAAACACAATACTTAAACTGAAAATACTTGAACTGAAAAATCGCCACTGGATGGCGATAGAATTGGTTGAAAGGGGGAAAGTACAGAACAATACGTGTTATCATTCTAACTTACGTAACAAAGATAGTGAGGAGTCACATATCATATGTCTTGACTGTATTAGCAAATAAACCAAGAGTATTAAACATTGACTTATGTAAGCCTGCTGTCAGATTGAACATGGTAACAACTGTAGAAGAGCTCCAAACTAGGACCAACTGACACATAGATACTTTAGAATGTGGAGATGAAGTGAGGGAACCATGTAAACAAAGTGATGCTTCCTAGTCAGGCTGCAACCTGTGGAGGGATTTTGCATTGCAAACATCCTATGCTGCTTCTGAGGAGACCAGATAACCTCATAAGCCTTCTCTTTGTGCTTCCATTTTCTAGGACCTCATAGTTGACCAGACAATAGAAAAAGTTTCTTTCTGCGCCCCAGATAGGAACTTTGATAGAGCCTTTTCTTACATATGTCGTGATGGCACCACTCGGCGCTGGATCTGTCATTGCTTCATGGCTGTCAAAGACACGGTAAGTCCAAAATGCTGACATGAAGATTCTAGCCGAGCTGCTTTCAGCTAGTATTAGCAAAGCAGTTTCCACCACGTTTTTGCACGTGATGCAAGGGCTGTTCATACAAGTGCCTTCTTTATAAGATTTTATGTAAGTAATTCTCGCTCTTGGTCTGAGCCTGTGATCGGGAAATCACAAAGCAAAACAATTGGCTAAGATCCAGAGTCATTAAAGTGACGCAGAGATGCCCTTGTGAGCTCATTGGATGATACCTTGGTTCATTCCCCAGCACCACAAAGAAAGAGAAACCAAAGGCTGAAGTGGGGTTGGGGGCCATGCATGTCACCTTGTTACTACACTTTAGTTGGAGCTTTTCATCGATAAAGGGTTTGCAGGGTTTGAGGGTTTTCTTTGTTTTTGTTTTTTCAAAGAATTGAGTTTATAGATGGGTAGTTGTATCTCATATCATTGATCCCAGCACTCGGAGGCAGAGGCAGGCAGATCTCTGTGAAATCAAGACTAGCCTGGTCTATAGAGTGCGTTCCAAAATAGCTAAAACTACACAAAGAAAAACTGTCTAGAAAAACAAAAAGCAAGCAAACAGAAGTTTCTCTGACCATAAAATTAATAAACATACTGAGAAGGGATGGAAGGATCTGAGAGCATCTTTGCCCTTATAACAGCTCTGCGTAGATACACATGGGCCTAAGCGCTTCAGTGCCCACCCACCCTAGTTCTCCTTTTTCATGATTTCACACCCTGACCTTACACCCTAGAGGTAGAGTAAATCTGCCAGTCTTTAAATGTGCAGCAAGAGGTCCACAGTTATGTAATATCTTACATACAGTGAGCATTTTAGACATCACCTCCCCTTTCCATAGCTAATCCTAGTATATAAAATCCAGTGAACTGGCTTGTTCACAGCTGCCTACATAGTACGATTTTGAGAATGCCACAAAAACCTCTGTTCCCAGAGAACTCTTCTCACAGTGAATGATATCAGTAGTTTTATACCAGTTCTTAACTTTTTTATTCTGCAGTAAGGATGTGAAGAGTAGCCCTGACAAAGCAATCCATTTGGATTGCTTAACTTGCCACTTGAATGTATCTATAAAATAATGATTGATTTATGTAAGCTCCATTCTCTTGCCACACACAAGCAAATCAGTTTCGTTTCTAAGTAGAGCATAAATGAAAACTTGTTCGCACTTTTACCTGTGTGGTTGGGAGGTGTAACTGTGAAAGAACTAGAAGATAGAGAAGGCATGAAAGAAAGGCTCCTGCTGCCAGCATTAGAAAAGAGACCAGAGCAAAACTCCTTTACTTGAGTCCTGTTTTTGTCTTTCTGTTTGTTTCTGAGACAGGGTTTCTCTGTATAGCTTAAGCTGTCCTTCCTGACTAGGCTGGCCTCAAACTCACAGAGATCTGCTTGCCTCTGTCCCCCAAGTGCTAGGATGAAAGCCATGAGGCACTGGGCCCAGCACTTGAGTCCCTTTGAATCCAGAGTTGTTTTAAAATTTATCAATCCTCCACCCCATGTTACCGTGTAGTCAAGCTCCTGAAATCCCTGCCTCCCCAGTGGTGTCTTAGAAGTGTCTGGCAAGTATTCCTATTCCCTGTTAAAAAGCAACGGGAGGGCTCAGGAGTGAACAGCATGCATTGTTTTTGCAGAGAACCCCAGAGTTGTCCCCAGCACCCACACTGAGCACTTCACAACCTCCTGAAACTTCAGCTCCAGGGGGGTCCAACACCTCTGGCCTCTGAGAGTACCTGTGTTCATACACACCCACCCACACACATGCACAGGCACTAAAAAATGGAAGGGAAGTTGGAGGCTTGACTGTAAAGACACTTTGTTTGGCATGTTAACTTAAACTGGAATTGCAACAGCTGTATTTGTCTGTAGTCGTGCTGTAACTCTCACAGAGCTTTCAAACCTCCTCTCTGCAGGGGGAAAGACTGAGCCATGCTGTGGGCTGTGCTTTTGCGGCCTGTTTAGAGCGCAAACAGAAGCGGGAGAAGGAGTGTGGAGTCACTGCTACTTTTGATGCCAGTAGAACCACTTTTACAAGAGAAGGATCATTCCGTGTCACAACTGCCACTGAACAAGCAGAGAGAGAGGAAATCATGAAACAGTTACAAGATGCCAAGAAAGGTGCAGTGCGTTCTACTGTGGTGTGTTCATTAATGCAGGTTTTCCCAACAGGTTTATATTTGAAGCTGTCAGAGACAGGTTTGCTCCAGACAAAAGGAACCCTTGGGATTGCATTCCTAACATGTTCAGGGTCCTGGGCTCTGTTTTCACTACCCCCGTGCCCCACCCACACCATACACTCAAGGAGAGCTCCCTTAGCAACACATGAAGACCTTAAGGACAAAACTAAAAATCCTACAAAAGTGCTTTCCATGTATGCTTTCCATTATAGTAACTTCCTCTGGGGAAGGTGAGAGAGCAGTTCAAGAAGCTGCAGAGAAACATCCCTTGCTCTCTGCCCATCCTGGAACAGATTTAATCCTGATGCTTCTGTCACAGATACCATCAGACTTATCATCTGATAAGAAGCATGAGTCCCAGGGTTTAGGGATCCAAAAGGAACATTGGCTGTGATGCTTGCTGAGAGTTAATGACACAGTGCTGGTTAGAGAGCTAGTATAATCCTGAGTGCTTTAGTCACAAAAGCCTATGGCTTTGGGGCTGTTGCATGTGTCTTTGTGTGTGTGACGTGAGCACTTAAATGTTTATGTTTTTACAGTTGTATGAATGCTTAATGTGTGAGAGTGAGCAGAAGCCCAGGGCCAACCTCAAGAGTCTCTTTTTAAATTTTAGATTCTGTGTCTGAAGGTTTTGCCTGCTTGTATTTCTGTGCACCACATGTATGTCTGGTACCTTCAGAGGCCAGAAAAGCTATTAGATTCCCTAGATCTGGAGTTACAGATAGCTCTAAGCCACCATGGGGGTGCTTAGAATTGAACCTAGGTCCTCTGGAAAAGCAGCAAAGACTCTTAACTCTATAGTTCCCAGACCATCATCCTTTCAAGGACCTTGGATGAGGACTCCATTGGAGCTAGGTTGTTTACATCAGCACAATCTTAAAAAAAAAAAATGCCCTTTTAAGATTATTTATTTGTGTTGGGAAGTCAGAAACAGGAGGATCTCTGAGTCTGAGGCCAGCCTAGTCTATAGAGTGAGTTCCAAGACAGCTAAGGTTATACAGAGAAACCCACTCAAAAAACAAAACAAAACAACATTTATTTACTTACTGTGTGGGTATTTTTCTGTTTGTATGTCTGCACACCAGAAGAGGGCATTGGATCCCATGGGACTAGAGTTATTGTTTGTTGTGAGTTGCCAGATGGATGCTGGGAATTGAACCTGCACCCTCTGGAAGACAGCTGGTACTCTTAACTAATGAGCTATCTCTCCAGCCCTGTGTGTTCAATCTTAATTTACAAATCACTACATAGGAATAAAAAATGATCCAAGGAAAAATCTAATATTTGTGTCTTAATAGAGGATAAAGTAAGCAGGGTGTTGTTAAACCTTTATCTGTCAGAGTGTGTTAGATTTGAACATGGGAAATGGGTGAGTTAAAGAATAAGAGAGTTTCTGAGCTCTTGGCTCTGTTAGTTCAGGATATTTGAAGGTCACTGTTGAGGTCTAAGGTCTTTTTCTTTGGTTTTCTTGAGCTGAGACAGACAAGACAGTTGTTGGTCCATCAGTGGCTCCTGGCAACACTGCTCCATCCCCATCCTCTCCTACCTCTCCTACCCTGGATGCCACTGCCTCTTTAGAGATGAACAATCCTCACGCAATCCCACGCCGCCATGCACCAATTGAACAGCTTGCTCGCCAAGGCTCCTTCCGGGGATTTCCTGCTCTCAGCCAGAAGATGTCACCCTTTAAACGCCAGCTTTCCCTGCGGATCAATGAGCTGCCTTCCACCATGCAGAGGAAGACTGATTTCCCAATAAAAAATGCAGGTAATGTGCTCAAGTCCTGAGTGAGTCACCCTGTCTCTCTGAAGCTATTCTAGTGTGTGTCATTTCATATGAGACCAAGTAGGGCCATGAATAATTAATTCCTCTTCCATAAGTAGTTAACAGAGCCACAATGGAATTTCTAACCTGAGCCACAAGGTCTATGGTGTGCTAGCCTATTTCCAAATGGCTAAGGTTCCAGATTTCTATTCTTACTATGCTGCATAGGTTCCTGGAAAATTAAATAGGTGGTTTTAGTGACATTTACAGGCTAGTGGCAGCACTGTCAAGGGAAGAAATTGGTAAGTGTTCTTACATTTGTGGGAGGTTGGCTTCATAGGGAAGAAACTCTAAATGTTTCTCTTATACAAGCTAAGGTGTCTTGTTCATCAGAAGCAGGAGGTTGCTAGCATTTATTAGTAACTTCTGTGTGCCCTGGGTTCAGCTGAGCCAGCCTATAAGCGCTACAGCTAAAATGTTAGATCTGGTTGATGCTTTTATTGGCCCAAATATACTTCCCTCAGAGACATGTCATGTTATCTCTACAACTGAACAGGAGGGAGGTCTGGCTCAGTAGGTAGTCCTACTGACAACAGTGTGAAAGTACAGAGAAAACAGACCTGTGAGCAAATAAAACTAGGCTTAAAGAACAGTTGGAGTTAGGTGATCATGGGAAGTCTTTTCAGCTTTCAGCACCCTCAAGACAGAAACTCCAGATGCTTACAGGTACCTTGTTGCAGGCTCCCTCTGGGGCAGATGAGGCACTAAATCTTTTTCTTTTCACAGGTGAGCAAAAGTTCAGTACACATGATTTATTTGCTCAGTAATAAGGAAGTGTGCTGAGAGTTTACACACACCCCCACACATAGGATCTCCAACTTGTTAGGACCCAAACTCTGTGGGCAAAAGCAATCTTCCTGCTTATCTTTCCAGAATTAGAATTAAGAAGAGTTGCTACCATCCTACCTTTCAGTTCGTTTTTCTTTGATACCACAGTTCATGTACTAGGAACTTTAAAGAAGATTAGAGTACTGGGCAGTGGTGGCACATGCCTTTAATCCCAGCACTTGGGAGGCAGAGGCGGGCCAATCTCTGAGTTTGAGTCCAGCTTGGCCTACAGAGTGAGTTCCAAGACAGCCAGGGCTACACAGAGAAACCCTGTCTTGAACTACCCCACCCATTCCCCCCCCCCCATAAAAAAGAAAAAAGAAGAAAGAAAGAAAGATAGTTAGTTAGTTCTGAGTACCCTAATTCATGCAGGGAAAAGCTTTTGTATCTAGACTTAACCCTGTTTTTCTGAGATTTGTTGTCAGCTCTAGAACTTGATTGGGTGAGAGCTTCTAAGAATGTTGAAAGGCAAATAGGTTGCAGAGATCTTCCAGAAAGACCCAGCTATACAAACATCCTCACATTAAAAACAAAAACCCATCAAATTCCCAACAATCTAACTTAATGCATGAGTTACTGATGTTTTCTACTTCCTTTTCTAAAAAGTGACGTGTTCATCAATTAACTTACTGAAGCTGATTGTGTAGCCTGACAGTTGAGGCTTGTCCTTCCGTAAGGAAGAGAGATAAAGTAAACAGTCAGCTCAGGCTGTTCTGTCCTATTTCAGGGTTTCTCTGCTTTCTGTCTAGAACCACTCTGTTTGCCTTGCAGTGCCAGAGGTGGAAGGAGAGGCAGAGAGCATCAGCTCCCTGTGCTCGCAGATCACCAGTGCCTTCAGCACACCCTCCGAGGACCCCTTCTCCTCTGCCCCAATGACCAAACCAGTGACATTGGTGGCACCACAGTCTCCTGTCTTACAAGGTTGGTGACCTCTGACCTCAGTTTTTCTCTTTAAAACTGATCATGTTAGCATGCTGCTCGTGAGCTGGAGCGTGGCACCCTGAGCTTGCCATTACCCTCATCTCCCCGTGCAGCCACGTCTTCGGGCTTTGTTCAGCCTCTTGTCTTCTATGGTGTCCACTGTCATCATTTGGCATGTCTTCTCCAAGTAAGAGTTTCTGTGGCTTCTGTCCACTACTTTATTTTCTCTTGACTAAAGGGTCCGAGCAGTCAGCCAGCTTTACAAATGAGCAGCTGTCAGGATAGGTTCAGGCTCTGTGCCATGTAGGTAGTGATTCCCCACCAAGGACAATTTTTTGCCACCTCATGGAAAATTTGGCATTCATTGGGATGGAGATATTTTGGGAGGAGGCGTTATTATAGCATCCAAAATACTGCCAAGCATCTTTCAGCATGCAAAACAGCACCCACAACAAAGAATTATCCATCCCAAAATGCCAGTGGTGTTAACATTGAGACCTGGACTCATCTCCTCTCTACTGAGAGAAGTTCATAAAATAGAAGGCTTTTTTTTTTTTTTCTTTTTTTTTTTCTGGCTCAAAGGTTCATTTTGTGGTCTATAGCAAGTGTCCAAAAATCGGCCTTTGCAACAAAAGTTAATGCAGGGTTAGAGTCGTCCATCTCCCCCTTTCCCCAAAATGCAAAATTAAATTCCTAACTCATAAGTCAGTATATCATTGGCCCCTAACATAAAGCTCCAATTATTGCTCATTCTCATTTCTTTTGAGAGCGAGGAGAAGGGCTGCCCTGCAGGACAATGCTGTAACCCCTGGAAGAAGCTTCCGTCCACCTTTGTTTTGGCTCTAGGTCTCAAGCTCGGTCTCTTTAGACGCAAATGCGTATAGTCATGTGTGCTTTAGATGGTCACCAGCTTTTCATCTAACAGACATTTATAGTATAAGAAAAAAATAGGCTTCATATATGGAGCACCCAACAGCGCCTGCCCCGGTGGAAAACGCTCACGTGCTGTTTTATTTAATCCTCAAATAGCTCTCTGAGGCAGCCGTTACAGAAAAGAAGGAGGAAGCTCAAAGAGCCTAAGTGGATTGTACAAGCTGTACAGCTAGATTTAAATTCCATTCCCCTGGCCCTGTCTGCTTACAGGGCACCAGGTGGAAAACCCAAAGAGCGTAGTCCTTTGTCTTTAAGGGGCTTCCCATCTACAGCTGGGGTATTTTTGTTGTTGTTTGATAGCCCCAGGTAAACAATACCATCACCCAAAGTGTGGCTGTCCAGGCCTGAAGAGGCAGAGTCCATGCTAAATATAATGGAAGCTGGAGGACAAACTTCTAGAAACTGATAAAGGACTAAAAGGGACAAGAGTTAGGAGCTCTGAGTAAAAGGAAATGAGGAAAGAAAGGCCAGCACTCTGGATATTATGAATATTACATGGGGAAAAAGACATAATACTAATTTTTTAGTAAATGACAAATGTAATAAAGTAAATGAAATCACATACAATTTGATTAATAACCTGTTGTATAGGCATACTGTAGACCTCCTTATTATCCATGGTCTCTGTTTCTGAAACTTCTATCATCTCAAGATATTAAATAGAAAGTTCCAGAAATAAAAAATTTATAAGTTTTAAATAATTTTATTACCATATATTCTTAGAATAATTGTTATTAACCCCTCAGTGTACCTAGCTTATAAATTAAACTTTATCCTAGGTTCGAATGTATAGGTAAAAACACAGTATTATTCAGGGTTTGCTACTATCTGGTTTTAGGCATCTGTAGTACATCTGGGAACTTATCCCCCAACCCCAAGTTTATGAGACTTTTGAGAGAATTAAATTTGGTAATATAAAATACTTTTAGCTTGGTGCCCAGAACATAGTAAGAATATATTATACATAACCCATTATTATTGTTGGCCTGATTTGATCTTCTGGAAAATTATAGACCGAAATACTTATATAATAAGCCAAAGCCTAGTTACATGAATAGCCATGCTCAATTTAATTTGAAATTGTATTTATTAGGCTTCATTTCCTCTCTCGTATACACATTTTTGTAGAGCAGTCATTTGACAGTGTCTTTTTGTCAGAAGGTACATGTGCGCACTGCAGGATAGCATGATCACCCAGCACCGACTGATCTGTCTTGTCTCTCCCACCGGCTTTGTGCACTGGCCTGACTGACCCATCTCCATGGGTGGCGTGGACACCCTGCATGAATTAACTGCACCAATGTTGTTTGCTCCCATTGTAGCTAATGGCACTGACTCAGCCTTCCATGTGCTTACTGCTAAGCCAGCCAATACTGCCCTAGCACCTGTAGCAATGCCTGTGCGCGAAACCAACCCTTGGGCCCATGCCCCTGATGCTGCTAACAAGGAAATTGCAGCCGTACATCCGGGTAAGGTGGCCACAGATGTAGACTCGGAGCAGGTTCTAAAATCGGCCTGTTACCTAAGTGAGGACTACGAAAGATATATTCCTTTGTAGACACAAGTGGCTGTGAAAAAAAGGCTATAAAACTTTTGGGAACGAAAGAATTAGATGGACATTCTAAGGACTGTGGAACCTAGCTACCATAGAAATTTAATAAGCCACCATTTCGTGCCCCACCCCAGAGAACCTTTTTACTGGATTTTAGCACCATACACAGCTGCCTATAAATGGACCTGCATGGCAAGTCCATCAAAAGTGCCACAAAGAACACTTTTTTTTTAACTAGATTTTCTGGGGTATTTTGAGACGTAGTCTCACCAAATAACTGACTGTCATGGAACTCACTCTGTAGACCAGGCTGGACTTGAACCCAGACCTCCAGCCTGCCTCTGCTTCTAAGTGCTGGGATTAAAGGTGTGCACCACCACTGCCAGCTTGTGTCTTTTGTTTTTAATTCTACATGGTTTTAGTTTTAGGTTTTTAAGACAGATCCTTATTCTGCAGGCAAGTGTTGTGTAAACTCTTGGTCCACCCGCCTCAGACTCATTGTTCTGGGAATGTAAGCATGCACCATTGTTCAGCTCCTTGACCCAGAGTGTCAGAAGCCAATTTCTCTACTGTAGCTGCACCGTGGCAACAGGACGGGTTCTGACACTAGTCAGCTGCCTCGGTTCAGGGCATTTGAGCCTCAGCATGCCTTAAGATAACAGCATGTTCTGACAGGTTCTACTTGTCACCGAAAACAGAGCTCCTAAGCTGGTGACGCATCAGTCCCTCTATCAGAACCACGGTGTCCCGTCCTTATTCCACAGTTTAGGATCATTCACTTAACCAAGGTTATCAAGTGAGAAAGGCCTCTAACTCTAGCCCGTCTCTGTCTTCTTGGTTCTAGGGGCTGAGTGGACTCAGTCTTCTGGCGCTGCCTCTCCAGGTCTCTTCCAGGCTGGCCACAGACGCACTCCCTCCGAGGCTGACCGTTGGTTAGAAGAAGTGTCAAAGAGCGTCCGGGCCCAGCAGCCACAGGCCTCAGCTGCCCCTCTGCAGCCTGTTCTCCAGCCTCCTCCACCCACTGCCATCGCCCCTCCAGCACCACCTTTCCAAGGAAATGCATTCCTCACCTCTCAGCCTGTGCCAGTGGGTGTGGTCCCACCCCTGCAACCAGCCTTTGTCCCTGCCCAGTCCTACCCTGTGGCCAATGGGATGCCCTATCCGGCCTCTAATGTACCTGTAGTGGGCATCACCCCTTCCCAGATGGTAGCCAATGTGTTCGGCACTGCAGGCCATCCTCAGGTCACTCATCCCCATCAGTCACCAAGCCTGGTCAAGCAGCAGACATTCCCTCAATATGACACAAGTAGTGCTACCACCAGTCCCTTCTTTAAGCCTCCTGCTCAGCACCTCAACGGTTCTGCAGCTTTCAATGGTGTAGACGATGGCAAGCTGGCCTCAGGAAGCAGGCATGCAGAGGTCCTTCCAGGCACCTGCCCAGTGGATCCTTTTGAAGCCCAGTGGGCTGCGTTAGAAAGCAAGTCCAAGCAGCGTACAAATCCCTCCCCTACCAACCCTTTCTCCAGTGACTTACAGAAGACGTTTGAAATAGAACTTTAGGCAATCTCTGTGACATGTGTTTTTATGTACTTAGGCAGGGGAAGGGGGTGGAGGGCAGAGAAGCAAAGGGACTTTGCTTTCCTGATCAGTACACTTTTCACTAATCCCAAAGGTCCCAAGGAGCAAGTGCAAGCACAGAGCAGGTGAGGGGTGATGTCCACAGAAGTGAAGAAAGTGTTCCTGAGAGGACTGCCCTGCAGCTAGGCTAGAGAGTCAAGAGCACATTGCCTTCTGGCCCCTCCCCTCTCCTACCTTACAAATCTCTGGCACAGAGAGGCAGGAGTATCTGAAGAGGAATATATATTCAAAGCACATTTACTGGAATATAAAGCATAACAGGAAGCAAAACAATCTCCCTTTCTTTTTCGGGCCAGGCACCTGTCCCTCCCAGTACCGGCCAGTCTTAGCCCGGAGAACAGTGTGGCTTGCACTCAGGCTGGGAAGCACGGCAGGCTGTGCTGCTGGGCTCACAGGAGACCACATCAGTAGTGGCCCAGCACAGCTGTATTCCGGGGAGAAAGCTGAGCTTCCATTTTGAGTAACAGAATAAATATTATAAATATATATATATCAAAAAGCCAAAATCTTTATTTTTATGCACCTAGAATATTTTAAATAGTTCTGAATATTAAAAATATGAGTTGTAAGTAATCTTGCCAAAAGTGAGCGGGTTAGTTGTAAGAAATTGTACATAAGATTGATCTATCATTGATGCCTGTTGAAGTGAAAAAGAGGAAAGGTTGGCAGTTGTAGGCAGGAGCCCTGGCTTGTTCGCGATCGCTCATTGTACCTAGCATATTGCAACAACAATCACACTGATGACCAGTCAGTCACTAGGTTGTAGTTTTAAGTAAAGGAAGTGTTGTCCTGGTTTTAAACCTACAGTGAAATTCTAATGTCATTACCCTAATGGGGTCAATCTACGCTCTAGAGAATGTGTATTATCTTTCATGTATCATTGCAGTTTCCTTATGTTATACTTTAGCATTAAGGTGACAATGACATACTCCTACCCAGAGAAGGGAATGCAGGCTGTTGTGTTGGTTTGTAGTGTGGGTCTTAGTAGGTTCTGTCCTTGAAGTTTTGTTCCTGTAAGTTTTACAGGGATGAGGATTCTGATTTTATGCGTTCTGTGTGTCCGTGTCCCCTTCAGCCCCGCTGGGAACAGAACATCCCATGCCAGTTGCAGCTACTTGACCTCGGGTAACAACGTGAGATCCCATCCCATTTTTACTTTTGAACGTTGGCCTTACAATCAAATGTAAGTTATATATACATATATATATATTTGTACTGATGAGAATTTATAATCTGCTTTAACAAAAATAAATGTTCGTGGTAGAAGCTTTTGCCCATGAAGGGCTGTTCTTATTTGTAAATGAGTCTATAGTTCTGTTTTTTGATCTAATTCTCTCTACTTCTGATTTCTAGCTTGTAACTAATTCTCTCTCTACTGCTGATTCCTAGCTTGTGACTGTAAAGTTTTTTATTGGGACAAGTATATCTGTAAGTTTCACAGGTGCACCTTGGTTCTTGGTCTGCAGCCACAGCAGAGAAGCTGGAGACTCCTGGCCCCAGCCCGGGGGTGGACTGGTGCTGTGTGTATAGAGACAGGGTCTCACTAAGTAGCCCTGGCTGGCCTTCAACTCAGAGGTCCACCTACCGCCATCTTCCAATTGCTGGAATTAAAGGCTTGCACCACCAAGCCTGACAGAGCTTTGGATTAATATTCAAATTCCTGAGGAGTAGCTCAGTGGAACAGTGTACTGAGCATGCATGAGATCCCACACACAAACACACAAGCCACCTAATACCCAGCCTATTCACAGGCCAGTTAAATCAGAATTTCAGTGGGGAGGATCCCAGGTTGTGCTTTAGATTTTGAAGAGTTTATTTACTCTGTATGGAATAAGGTTAAGTCCAGAGTAGCTCACCTCTTACCCTCAACTTAGCCCCCTGCTTCTGCCTGTTAACAGCTGGAACCAAGAGGTTTCTCAGCTCCCTGCCTCTTCCCTTTTTGAGCAGGGTAGCTTGAGGTGCCACTTACACATGCTGCTTTGTTTTTCAGCCTATGTCAGGACTGTGGTTTCCTAGTAACCTTTGGTACTAGGACCATCTTCTAGAGGAGTTGCAGAAGTTAAAATGGAGAGCCCTGAGAGCTCACTAAATCCAGGCCTCTTCCTCCATCATTAAGAAATCAGAGGTTCTGAAAGATGAAGGATGCCTACTACTAAAATCACTCCCCTGATTGCCACATTGCACCCACATCCTGCTCATGCTGGGGTTTGTGGGTTCGGGGTGGGTGGGTTGTTTAATTTGAGACAGGGTTTCACTCTGTGGCCCAAGCTGGCTCCCAGTGTGGCATTCCTGTTTTAGCCTTCCAAGCATTGGCATTACAGGCATGCATCACCACTCCCAGCTACTGTTTAACTGTAGTCTCTCTCTCTTTTTTTTTTTTTCCAGAGCTGAGGACCGAACCCAGGGCTTTGCGTTTGCTAGGCAAGCGCTCTACCACTGAGCTAAATCCCCAACCCCTAACTGTATACGGCAGTCGGGACAAGTTCTGCCTTCCACCAGTGTGGTTGCAGGGGACACACTCAGGGCATCAGGTTTGGCAGGGAGTGCCTCTACCACGCCGCCATCTCACCAGCCCCCAGCTGCTGTTCTCAGCATAGTCTGACTTTTCTCTAGCAGCAAATATTTTTCTCCACAGATTCCCGTAGGAAACATGGCTCTTTGCTGCTCAGAGCGGGCCAGTGGGCTGTATAAAGGAGTGAACCTTCCCAGCCTGCTTTGTAGGGCGACCCCAGGAGGTAGCACCCCTGCACTGCAGGTCTTACTCAGTTTTCTCACACTCAGATTGTAAGGCTATCTGGCTTTTTCACCCCATGCCCCTGCACTGAGGCCGTATGGTTATATTCCACCTTGCTGAGGGCTTTCCGAAGCATTACACTGTGCGTTCCACACAAGTGTGGAACAATGAAAAGTGGGATGATGAAAAGGCTTGAATGACAGATCACCCTCCGACCCAGGGACACTGGGCTCACACAGAGTTTTTCTGACTGAGTAGTTACCACTCCCCTCACTGGCACAGACCTCCCACCCAGCCTGCTCTGTAGTGTGCCGAGTGGATCCTCTGTAAAATTGAGCATCCCTCACCAAAATCAAACGTGCTTTGAAACCCAGACATTTTTGAAGGCTGACATGGCAGTTAGATGTTTCAAGCTTCAGAGCACTTGAATTTTAGGTAAGAGATGCTCAATTAGTAAAGTCTACAAATACTTAAAAGTTTAAGAGTACTTTGGTCCCAGGCATTTCAGAGAAAGGGTCCTCGACACAGCAGAAACTGTAGAGGGGAGGCGAAAAGGAGCAGTTCTGTGTAGGCAGTTTCCTCCTCTTCACAGCAGCCTGTAGTCTTAACAGACAGACCCTGCTGAGGGCTATAGGGGAGGCTGGCATGGCAGCTGCTGGGGCTTAACTCTGCCTTTCTAAGAGGGCCAGTATCTGAAAGATGACTCCCTCCGAAAGCCATGTCTTACCATCCCTTCTCCCCAGCAGACTATCTGGAACTGGCGCCGCTGCTAGGCTTCATCCCTGCTGCCAGGCAGGCTGAGCATTGGGCTGGACGCGGGAGCAGCTGGCGCAGCAAAAGCTGGAGTAGTATTCATTGCCACAGAGCTGGGCCTGCAGAATCAAGGCACAGTTGGCCAGCTCCGGCTGGTCAACGCACTCCCTGCCCAGGTCCCTGGACTGAGCCGCTGGTGCTGCAGAACAACAGGAGAAAAAAGGGCTGAGGCAGCCGTCCTGCTGCGGCTTCTCATGCTTAACCACGCGAGAAAGGACGATGGCTTCCACCCATCACCCGTCCACTGCTGCCTTACCAGCAGTCCTCCTGTGAGCCTTACCTGTGGCCTCAGCCCAGTGCACAGCCTTTCCCAGACTCCCTGCCCTACTGTCCAGAGCTTAAGAGCCACATGACAGCAGGATAGGTAGGGTCAGCCTTAGGAAAGCTGGAAGCCAGGGAGAGCCATTGTCTTCCTGTTGCCACTGGGTCGCTCCAGCCTCCCCGGCCTGCCTCTGCCCCCTGTATTCCTACCTTACCTGGCATGCACCTGAGAAAGTATCGAGTCTTCAAAGTCCTATTACCCGTCGCTCTAAGGCTATTGTCAGTTTCATTCCTCTGCCTCATCCCACGGTAGTCTCTGTCCTCTCTGCAGGCTCTGTGCAGCTCTGTCCCCACTGTCCCTACAGCCAGGCATACAGGGCTAAGTATAATTTCTCTATTCCTTCAGAAGACACCATGAAAAGACCAGACTACCCGAGTGGCCTCTGAAAGGTTTGGCATTCTCACCAGCATAACCAGAGGACTGGCTTCCTGCATGCGTGTGGTAGCCAATCCACATGTGCATGCTGTTTTTCTCAAACTCTGAAACTTTGATTTCAACTAGTAGCTGTTGCAGCCCCGGGCTATCGTGGTAGGTACTCCGCATGGTGGTCCCTGCTGAGTATCATTGGGCAAATTTCTCAAGCTCTTGGAGCCTCTGTTTCCTTCTCTGAAATGGAGAGAATGAAAGCATCTGCCTCGAAGGGGCATTCTAAGGACTCTGCTGAGATACGGTGCATCGGTTTAAAACAGCTGGGCTGGCAGCATAGGCCTATAATCTCTCCTCAGGAGGCCGAGGCAGACCTTGGCTTCGAGGCCAGCCAAGGCAATTCAGTGAGACCTTATCTTATCTCAGGCTAAAAGTACTAAAAAGAGGCAAACGGCTATAGTTCAATTGTAGAGGGTAGCATTCTTGTCACACACACAAACCACTTAGAGCAGCACCCAAGGCATGTAATAACCATGGCAAAAACTTGAGTGCTTACTGCTGTCTTGACCCCACGGCAGTGTTTGCCCCCAAAAAGTAAGGCAGGGACAGAACGTGTGACAGACCATTCTTCCATCCGTACAGCATTTCCTGTCCTTCACTCAACCCTAAGGGGCAAAAGAATTCAGGTGCCCTCCTTACCACAGCGTGAGAGAAGCCCAAGCCATCACTCTGTGCTAACATTAACCCCAGTGCCACCAAGCCATGACTTGGGGCAGCATGAGACAGTCACCGTGACTCCAAACTAACCAGTGATAGCATAGATCTGCAGCCTGGTCAATGGAAGAAAGGCAGGCAGGAAGGGACAGCTAGAATTCTGGAGCGATGCCTCCAAAATAGGTAAAGGTTGGCAGTATCCATCAGAGAACAAGAGAGGCCTCGCTGCGGCCATGGGTGGGGTTCAACTTGGCAGCCACATGACACCGCTAGCCCACTAGACAAGCTTCTGATTATCATCCCGTCTCATGTCTACAGCTGATCACAGTGTGAATGTCCAGATCCCCTTGAGTTGTTTTTGTGGTAGGTTTTGCTAGTTTGGCTTTTGTTTTAACTCAGGGTATGTCACTCACACTGGCCTCTCAAACTGGCAGTCCTCCTGCCTCTGCAAGCCAAGTGCTAGGATTCATAGGGGTCACCGTGCCCAGATGCTCGGTCCTCATAATGACTGCCCTCCACACTGCAGTAAACCTGCATGGATTTTCCAGAAACATCAAAGGTGTCATGGTGTACACCCTGAGCTAGCAGCTCTGAGTTCCAGTGCTGCAGAGCTCTGGGCTGAGCCCAGGGGGCCCAGGCACTGCTTAGGGAGCATACAGCGGGAAGCCTGAGTGTCAGTCCCACAAAGCAACATTTCAGCACACACCTTCAACCTCTGGCCAGTTCCCACACTCAGCAGCCAGGAAGACAGACTGGCCTGCCCCAAGTGGGCCAGCCCTCCTACGGGTGGCACTGCAATGCCACTTGTCATAAACACAGACCAGGCAGTTGGTGCCCTGTTAACCTCCAAGCCCAGGACCCTTCTCCAGGATCCGCCTCAGGTCTGTGAGAACTGGCTGCTTGGCTGGAGGCTCTGACCTGTTGGTCAGTCGCTCCCTGAAACACTTAAGACCTGGAGAGCAGAGTGAGTGGGTGTGTCACTCAACCACAGAGCTCCTGCGAGTTTGAACATGAAACAGGCCCATTTCACCAGTTCTGAGATGTAACTTAGCAAAACAGGCATGTTAGCATCTAGGAAGCAGAGGCAAGGAGATTGAAGTTGAGACCAGTCTTGGCCTACATAGCAAGTTCGCGGCCAGCCCGGGCTACATAAGTAAATACGTAAAACCAGGAGTCAAAAAGCCTGTGTTTGCCTCGTACATTTGGCAAGAACTCTGCACTGAGCCACAGTGTCTTCTGCCACCCTGATTAGAATGGATAGAATTGAGCAGTCCATCCACCTTAAACATTATCCCAGCCAAACTTCTTTTTTAAGACTAAAACTGTTAAGTCTGAGTGGCAGAGCTCTGAACGCTTTCCTACATCTTTACCTCGGCTTCAGGTAGTGGGGTAGCCCCAGAACACTGGGGCTCTGGAGCCATAAGAAACATCTGCCCCAGTTACGATGCCAGATGCTAGAACGTGAGCACAGATGAAAACTAGAGCCCCGTGGTTAATAAGCCTCGTGACCTTCAGTGCTCAGCTAGCCTTTGAGACAGCGAAGCCCAGCATGAGTGTTTCTCACCTGGCAGGGCCACCTTCACCTCAGTGCTGCGGCTCACAGCCTGGCTCCCACGGTAGGCACTGCACGTGTAAGATCCCTCGTCCCTGGGCCGCAAGTTGTGGATCAGCAGTGTGCCATCTGGGGACTGGTGCACACGGTGGCCGTCAGCCTGGACTGGCAGTCCATTCCTGGAGGGGAAAGGACATTGGGAGAGCCATCCAGGGCTGCTGGAGACATGCCTTGAGAGGCCTGGGAGATGAGGAAGACGTTAGCCAAGGCTATTCTAGAGCCAGCCTTCTCTCCCCACGAGGGCAGATAGATGGCACCTCCGGGAAGTGGGGACGGGTACACTAAATTGGTAGAAGGGCACTAGCAAAGACAAAGTGGTTCAACTATGCACTCTTCAGTTTGCCCTGAATCCACAACGGAGCCTACTCCATCTTGTCATTGACAAACTCCATGCCCTGTGTTGGAGGAAAGGTACCTTCATGGCAAAGGAGAGGGTGCCAGTGTCTAGGGAGCCTTCCACAAGAGGATGGCTGACCTAAGGCCGGGTGGGGGTGGGGGTGGGGGCAGCAGCAGGGCTGGCCAACAGAAGAGGAAACAATGGGGATTTGGGAATTTAGGGACAAGCTGTCACAGGCAGAGCAGGAAGAGGTGGGAGGGAGCCTGTCAGGACTCTCTTGGGCTCCCAGCAAGTGTTTAAGCAGGCTGGGGCTATCGGACTTGAGTGGAGCTGGGAGTGGCTGGGTTGGCCTGGAAGAAGTTGTTGTTGCGTCGTGTGCATGAGGAAGATATAGGCCACTGAAGTAGACATGGGTGAAGGTCAGATCTGGGAGGTGGAGAGACTTAAACTGGGTGATGGTGATTCTAGGCCAGCCTTTCCTCCCCACGAGGACAAATAGGTGTGCAGGTCTCAACTCACTGGTGCCCTCTACATGGAGAAGAATGAACAGTGAGGTGATGCTTTGAACCTGAGGCGCCTGCGAGATGTCAAGTCTGAGACCTGGAGCTGCAAAGTCCAGACCCAGATGCGCCTCAGGAAGGTACCTCTCCAAAGCCGTCCAAGGCTACAGCTCTGACGGCACTAGGGAAGCCATGGGAAGAGAGTGTTGTGCAAAAGAGCAAGCAGCCAGCAGGATGCCACCACAGATGAGGTCAAGACTGATACCGTCCAGAGGTGGAAGGGGCAGGGAGGTGATTGCTGACCTCGCTGGTACAAGGAGCATGGGCTGGATAGAAAGAGCAATGATCACTAGAGATAGCAGGATGTACAGCCATGCTGTGAAGGGGGTGAGCACTGAAACTCCTGGCTTCAAGACCGCCTAAGAGGCAGCTGACCTCCATCACCCCTGACCCGCGCATCCCCTCTAGAGGAATTTTAATTCAGAACATGGCTGCTCTGGCAAGAGATCACATCCAAAGACCTAGGACTGTGTGACCGGCTGCAATACAGACATGTTTTTAATCTGGGAGAGAAAGGCAAGAAGATCTGAGTCCAAGGCCAGCCTGGTATAGAGCAAGTTTCAGGTAAAGAAAAGCTTAGGTCCAGGCATGGTGGTACACACCTTTAATCCCAAGCAGTGAAGGTAAAGTTAGTTTGTAGAAGGAAGCACCCTTGTTTACAAGGGTTGTCTAATTGGTGGCAGAAATATCGAGAAGATAGATAGAAAAAGACTTGACAGAACCCTCAAAGAGAGAGGAAAGGGAAGCTACTTAATGGACAATGCACAGAGAGAGGGGGAGTTTTACTGGGAGAGTGTTACAGAAAGGTTGAATGAGAGAACAAGCGAGACAGAGGATGAAGGCAGGATGAGCCAGAGAATGAGAAGGAGCCAGATTAAATAAATCAGCTGGAAGAGGAGTTTGAGCCAGAACAGCCGAGTTGAGCCAGCCAGCCCAGAGCCCAAGAACAAGAAAGGGTGAGCTTATTCAGTAAGTCTCAGAGGCTGCCTAGGTTAGATTTCACGGAGGCTAAACGCTTCCAGGACTAGGCCTTAGTTAGCAGACAGAGGCAATAAACCTTGAGACAACTGAACCAGATGGATGAAAGTTCATTTTCCACCCCCGCCTTCCCCGCCAGAAAATACTTGCCTTTGACCACTCCCCCAAAAGCGTCCTTCCCTCTCCTTACCTCCCTGGACTCTTTCCTGACTCTCCCAATCCAAAGCCTCACTTTCCTTTGTGCACAGTCAGCACTTGGGGGAAACCTGGGCCAAGGCTGCCTCTCAGCTCTCGAGACACTGACCTGAGTTCTGATATAGTCTAAAGAAGCGGAGACACAAGTAGTTGCTGAATTTCAAAAGACTAGCCCATCTGGGATCGGTTCCCTGAAGCTGAGGCTGGAGAGATGGCTCAGCAGGCGAGAGCTTGTTCATGCAGGGGACCATGACAAAGTTTCCAGGAACTGTGTGGTGGCCCACAACCATCTACGACTCTGCTTGGAGATCCTATTCCCTTCCTCTTTCTGACCTCCACAGGCGCCAGGCATGCACGCTGTATATACACACGTGCACGTGCAAGAAAAACACTCATACGCTTAAGTACATTTGAAAAAAAAATCATTGAAGTCTCCAGAGCTACACGCAGCCCTGTGGGTCTCAGGATGGAGGAAACAGAGCCATGTCTCAGAGCCATGTGTGGAAATGGTGTCCACTGTCTTAACCTGGGCAGGGAGAAGGCTACTGGCTCTAGCAAGTGGATGTTCTGGGTGCTGCTAGATACCCTACCATGAACAGGCCTAAAACAGCAAGCTTGTCTGGGCCAACAGTTCAGTGGTGCTAACATTAAGAAACTAGTTGCTGGGTGTAGTGGCACACATCTTTAATCCCAACACTTGGGAGGCAGAGGTAGGCAGATCTCGGAGTACAAAGCCAGTCCTGTCTACAGAGTGAGTTCCAGGCCAGCCAGAGCTACATAGTGTGACCCTCTCTTGGTAATACCAAAAAAAAAAGAAAAGAAAAGAAACTAGCCCAGCCAAAAGAAAACTGTCCTCTGGAGTTTCATGGTATAGGAGAAGGATGCTTCAGCCTCCAACCCTGGCACCAGGCCTCAGAGGACAACAGCACAGGGACAGTGGGGGCAGTGACATTTCTGACAGACGGAGACTGTAAGGATGTGCACTGATTAGAATAGCCGACTTTACCTGGACCACCTAATGTTCACACTTTCTCCAGGCACCACACACAGCAGCCTGGCCGTATCACCCTCTGGCACTGTCACAGCAGGAGGCAGGCCTGTGATTGTCAGCTCCCCTAGGCATGAGAAGACATTGTCAGTGGCTACCACAGACCACTCCCCAGCCACACACCACTTGGCCGTTAATGCCCTTTGACCCCACTCAGGACTTCCTCCTTACCCAGAACTCTGAGCTGGACCCAGCGCTGGTCTCGGTCCTGCCCATTGAAAGCAACACAGCTGTAGAAGCCACCATCCTCCACAGACACTCTGCTGATGACCAGAGAGCCATCGGGCTGCACCTGGTGCCTGGGAACCAAACACAGCCAGGTGAGCAGGGATCTAGAGAAGCAGGAGTTGGGAGGAGAGCTAAGCAGGGCCCCTACCGTTCAAATTGTCTAGCCAAAGAGCTGCGGACAAGCCCCTCACAGTCCAACTGGAAGCACCTTAATTCACTTGATACAATTCAATAACAAATCATTTTCTGTTTTCTGAATTAAAAACTATTTGCGGCCAGGTGTGGTGGCCTGCAGCCCCAGCACTCAGGAACTGGGAAAGCAGGAGGGTTGCCATGAGTTTCTGATACCAGCCTGGTGTACACAGTGACTTCCAGGCTAGCCTGAACTACATTGTGTTACCCTATGTCAAAAAAAAAAAAAAAAAAAGGGAAAAGCCAGGTGGTAGAGGTGCACGCCTTTAATCCTGCACTTGGGAGGCAGAGGCAGTTGGATGTCTGAGTTGAAGGCTAGCCTGGTCTACAGAGCAAGTCCAGGTCAGCCAGGACAACACAGAGAAACAGACACACACACACACACACACGAGGGAGGGGAGGCAGAGGCAGTTGGATGTCTGAGTTGAAGGCTAGCCTGGTCTACAGAGCAAGTCCAGGTCAGCCAGGAAAACACAGAGAAACAGACACACACACACACACACGAGAGAGAGGGACTCCTTACAAACATGAGGACAGGGTTCAACCCCCAAAATCCATATTTAAAAGTGGGGGGGAGGGGGAAGGGAAAGAGGCAGGCATGCAGGCACGGTGGGCACGCTTGTAATACCAGTCCTGGGAAAGCAGAGAGGGTTCCTGGGTTGGCCAAGCAGCCTAATCTACTTGGCAAGCTTCAGACCAATGAGAGACACTCTGTCTCAAAGAAACAAGGTGGATGGTCCCTAAGGAAGGATGCCTGACAGATTCTAGCGGACTTGACAAACACGGCCCAGGCAGGACTTGTCTTCTTAAACTCTGCCTTCCTAAAAACCATTAGCTCATACTCCTAAAGATGGCCACCAAGGTCTGTTCCCTTATTTGGCCACTTCCTCCTCCTGAGGCTGACTACCAAGGTCCAGCTATCAAAGTATTCAAGTCCAGCAACCCCTTTGGCTCACCTAACTAACATACCCAATTGAAATTAAGCACCCCATCCTAACACATGGTTTCCCCTTGTGTCTTTATAAACTGTCATTTTCCTACGGGCCACGTCTGCCTCCTTTCTATCCAAGGGCAATCCTTTTTCCCACTGTGGGAGAAATATCCCTGCCCCTATCTCTTGTTCCCTTCCCCTTTTCCTTTATCCTCTATCTCCTGTCTTTGTCTCTTATTCCCTAGCCTCTGTACCTCTGAGGCAAATAAATGTCCTTTATGCTTAGAACTTGGTCTTTTTTTTTTGGGGGGGGGGGGGCTCCTGAGCCAATACTTTTCCTTTCAGTGCCTAAAGCTGACTTTCTGGCCTGTATACAATATGCATATATGAGCATGCACACAATTTTAAATTAGATTTCTAGTTTGCTTTGTTTTATTTTGAGACAGGGTCTCACTTTGTAGCTCTGGCTGGCCTGGAACCTGATATGAAGACCAGCCGGGCCTCAACTCACAGAAATGCACGTTCCCTCCGCCTCCAGCATGCTGGGATTAAAGGCTGAGATGGATAATATTTGCCATATGCAAGCAGACTCAGATCCTGATTCTGTAGTGAGCTGTGCGACACTGAGCTCCTGTGCGGAAAGTGCTGGCAAGAAGCACACGCTTCAGTGTGGCTCTGGGCAGCTGACACAAAAGTGAGCGGGCCACAGAGCAAAGTCAGTATAAACATCAGCAATGGGGCCAGTCAGGGGCATGCAGACTCTGCTCTGTCCTCGGCAGACCTCATCTTCATCAGCCATACTCTGCAAATGCCCGGAAGCCCTGTGTTCCAACCCCCTTTCTCCAGAACCCAGAGTCCCACTCTGGCCTCCATAGGATGGGGTGTGGCTAGAGACAGGACAGCAGGAGAGGGGCTGAATGAACCTGGGAGAAGAGATCAGCTCTCCATCTCTTTGCCACTCAATGGTGGGGACCGGAAAGCCTTCAGCACGGCAGGCAAGCCGGATCCGCTGGCCAGGATTGGCATCCACCACCCCAGGCTGAGTCCGGTCCAGGCGTAGCCTACAAAACAAATTGTGCACAGCTAAGAGGCCCTGGCTGCTGCTTCTCTCTACAACAGAGTCCTCCGCCTGAGCCCTTTTTCCATCTCTGGTCGGTGTTGGCTCCCTAAAATTACCCTTAGTTCAGTTTAGAACACCAACACTGCTATTAAGAACTGGGGATATCGCTGTGAGTTCGAGGCCAGCTTAGTCTACAAAGTGAGCCCAGGACAGCCAAGGTTGCTCAGAGAAACCCTGTCTCAATAAAAAAAAACAAAACTGGGGATAAGGTCTCAAAGGCTTGGGCTGGCCGTCACCTTGGCTGACTAAACACACCCAGTCTCTGCCCACCTCCTCCTGCTACCTGCCTCTGCCAGGTCCTCTGAGATGGAACCATCCTCGAGGCCAGATCAAGGAGCTGGGCTTTTCTAATTGTCACCTCTTGGAGCCTGGGGCACTGGGTGGCAAAACCCAATCACAGCACCAACCTTCCCTTATTGAGACCACGAACCATGAGGCTGAGAGCATTGGGGCGTGCTGTGCTATTACCTGGTGGCAGGCCTGCGGTGGTTCCCAGCTCTTGTTCCCATTCCAGGGTTCCGAGGACCGTGGTCAGGGTCTGGGTTCCTGGTCTGAGGGAAATGGCTCGGCTGGACCTCAGACAACACTGCTCTGTCACCCCCTGTCATGAGGCCAAAAGAAGCAAGGTCTGAGCTTTGTGAAGGGAACGAAGGAAAGGATCCGTGAGCAGCAAGGATGTGTGGAGAAACAGAGGACAACAGGATGTAGTTCCTACCTCAGCAGGAAGTGACCCAAGGAAGAACTTGGGCCTTTCTAGGGTGGGTCAGTCCTGCCACATTCTCCTCCCTTCCTCCCTCAGTCCCACCCTGTATTCTGCGAGATCCTGGGGGTAGGTGGGATGGGGCAGGAACCTGTGACTTGAAGCTGGATCTCCTGGAGGTCGTGGCCTGGCCTGTGGCTGCCACAGCTATAGACGCCAGCGTCCTCTGGCCTCAAGGGGCTGATGATGAGGGAGCCGTCTGACTGTAGCTGGTGCCTGAAGAGAGGGAGGAGAGACATGTCTCTTGGGCTCCTGAGGGCAGTACGAGTCCTGTGGCTCCCATGCTCCCAGCGAAAACCATACTTCCCCACGGCACTCCCCAGCCTCCTCACGCTCCCAACGAATGCAAGAGGGGGATGCCAGACCTGCGCATGCAGGAGATGGAAAGTAGCTACTGTTCCCCTTCTCTCTCTCTCTCTTTAAAAAAAATATTTAATTTTATTTTACGTGCATTAGTGTGAAGGTGTCAGACCCCTTGGAATTTGTGTTAAAGACAGTTGTGAGCTGCCATGTGGTCGCTGGGAATTGAACCCGAGTTCTTTGGAAGAGCAGACAGTGCTCTTAACCACTGAGCCATTTCTCCAGCCCCCCTCCTCTCCCCTTTTAATGTATGGGTATTTTCCCTGCATGCATACACACACACCCCAGAACTAGAGTTACACTTAAGAGTTGCCACGTAGGTGTGGGTATTGAACCCGGGTCCTCTGGAGGAGCAGCCAGCGCTCCCAGCCCTGAAACATCTCCCAGCCCCAGCTCACCACGATCCCCCAGTGACCCTCTCACACAGGAGATGGGACCATGGTTTCGCACACACCTGATGGAAGAAACGGGCCGGCCTTCTTTCTGCCATCCTGCCTGGAATTCCCTTTGGGTGTTTTCGGGGCAAAAGAGCTGTACCGCCTGCCCTGCAGCTGCCTGTACCAGGGAAGGCTCCGGGCCTGCCAAGCTGATCCTGGAGAGATGGGAGGTATGGCTCTGCCTCCTGGCACAGGAACAGGGCCAGGCAAACTGTCTCTCGTAGGCATTTGTAGGGCTAGAGTCCCGTGGGAGACCCCAGCCTTCCCAACTTCCTGCCACACCCCTCGAGCAGCTGTGCAGCAGAGCAAGGCAGACAGCCCAAGGGATTAGGAGGAGGCCCAGAAAGGCCACACATCACAGCATGATTGAGGAACCGGCCAACGTAACATGCTTGACCCTCACAGCATGTGCTTTGGTTTCTTAATTCTGTTTCCCCCAACCCCTTATCAACACAATGGGACAAGAGTGATAAATAAGAGCCCACATCAAAACCCATGATATATTCAGGGAGTGAAACATTATCACCATTTTACAAGTCAAGAAACAGGAGCTGGGGGGGGGGGGGGGG